TCGCCACCAATCAACTTAGGTGTGATTGGATCATAAAAATTATTTAAATTTGTGAAAATCAAACTTGAGTTCGGGGACATAATTATGTGTGAAGAAGGATTAACACCCTATCAATGCCTGTAAAACCTTCGCTCACTTGATCACAAATATTTTGTTTAAATTATGAATGTAATTAATGTATTTTCTTATATTAATAGAATTTTTAATTTTTAAGGACTAAGAGAACCAAAATTAAACTTAAATATTCTATAAATTCATGTATTAATCTACATTAAAATTTCAAAAGTGTAATCTTTCATGGGCAAATTTTGAGTATTCTGTAACGTCTAGGAGAATATCGAGAACCTTGCCTCACTCAAGAAAATACATTGATTTTTGTGAATTATGCTCAAAGTGGGGATTCACAACTCTTTAAGACGCCCTCAGTTCTCTAATATCTAAGAGAATTTAAAGGAATCTCACAAAGTCCGAAAAATTCTATGATTTTTAAAAATATCAATGATATAATCCTTTAGTAACCCTGAAAACCTCCTATGTCTAGAAAGATATTAAAAGCATACTTAAGATGATATATCATTTCAAATGACTGCAATTAAAATATTAACACGTATTATAGTTGAAGTAAATAGAAATAGAAATTTAAGCAAATAAAAAAATTCACTAACAATTCTAAAGTTCCAAATCCTAATGTTCGCTGACCTTAAGGTTGAGCACTAAATTCCTTAACTAAATCTCTAAAACCTGGAAAATACTAACGTAGCAAGTAAAAGTGTACATAAAAATGATATTCAAATTATGACGAATTCTGTAACACCCCAATCAAAGACTTGTAGTTTCGGGTTAAACTCAGAGTATTTTGGATAAGTTCTTTAATCTTGTATGTAAGCTTGGCCCAAATGGGTGTTGGTTTGGGCCCAATAGATGTTAAAAAAGTGTTTTTATGTTGTGAGCAAAGTTAAAAGGATCAAAGAAACTATTATACCAAATTTTAAGCCAAAGACTAAAAACTGTTAATGGTTAGTGATGTAATCGACTGACTTCTCTTTTTCCTCCCGTAAACACTTTGTCATTTTCTCTCTCTTTCAACTCTTCTCTTCTTCCTGTTGCTAGAGAAAAAGTAAAAACTTTAGATACCTACTCTTCTAATCCAGTCTAACAAAGGTAAGTGATGCTATAATAATGCTACAACAAAGTGGATACATACACTATCGCGTTCAAGTAGTAAAGTGGAAACTATAAAAAGCTTTGAATATTGAACCTACAGAGAGCGAATCAAGGTATAAGAGAGTTGTACGGTGAGTGTCAAAAGATATATGGCTAAAATATTGAAATAAAGGTAAATAGAAAATAAGTAAATCAGAATGGTGAACATCAGATCAAGGATTAAATGGATGCGGATGCTGCATGGTAGTTTCTACTATGTTTATGCTTAAAAAAGTAAAATCGTGTGTTACGCAAGGATTAACAACATTTAATTGATAATAATCAATCCTCATTAATTTAAGTAACAAAATAATTAACAATGCATGACAATTGACAACATACATCTCATCACACTAACTTTGCTTTTCACAAATACCAATGCTAATAAAAAATTGTATGAAACATCCATAACTTTTATTTCTAAAAATCATAGAGAAAACATACATAAAGACGACCTTATTTCTAAAACTATCTCATAAGTTTGGTGGTTCATGAAAATTTAGTCTAAGCATATAACATAATAAAAAGCATTTAAACAAACATATAGTGTTCAGAACCAAATAACATTCAAAGTTAAGAAAAAATATTACTAAATTGTCACTTCCTTATCTCAATAGAAGAAACAAAGATAGAGATGAATATTCTCGATCACTGCCAGTACACGACAGTACTCCCTCAATTGCTGCTGTATTTCCTGACGAAGGACTTACGCGACCATGGCTCACTCAAGACAAATTTTCGTAGAGAATAATTTTAAGAGAAGAAAAAAATTCATCCAAATGGTGTGAATACCTCTCCATTTGGAATATTCTATTTGTTATTCCTGTCAATTTCGGTTTATTATAAACTCTGCGGGTGTCTTCTATGGTCAGCCCTCGCTCCATGAAGGTCAAGAATCTTGCGTTTTTCAGCTTAGTTTGGCCCCTTTGGCTCTTTCGAAATGAAATCATTTTTAATAACTTTACACTAGATGAGAACCAACTATTCGATACGACTTTGCTGAGGATCAGTTATTGGTTTAAAAATAGTTGGTCATACTCTTTTAAATCAATTTTTGACATCCTGCTTTTTGCATGCTCTGCGCGCATTTCTCAGGTTAATCACAATCAGTTGGTGTGCTTAAGGGCATCTCCAATCTTATCTCTACTCTAAAACATCTCTATCTCTATTGTAGAGATGATATAATAATTCATCTCCACCGCTGTCTCTACATTACCATTAATTCTACTTTATTTATAATATTTAACTATTATAATATTAATTTTATAAATATAAAAAAATCAGAAAAAATACAAAAAAAATCCGAAAAATTACAAAAAAAAATTAGTAAAATTATTTATCTAATTTTCATTTATTTTTATCTATTTTATAATTTAATATACTTTAATTTAAAAAAAAATGTGTCGCAAGCTACAGTGCCGCGCTAGATGTGGCGCGGCACTGTAGCAGATCTCTATTGTAGAGCAAGGTCTGACGCAGCACTGGAGATGCTACAGTGCCGAAATGCGCTACAGTGAAGTAGCGTTGGAGATGGCCTAAGGGTAAGACCTCCTTCTGGCTATCTTAAGTGCAATGTAGATGAAGCTACCTGAGGGAGTTTTGGGGCAACATGTATAGGTGGTATTTTAAGTGATCGTGAAGGAAAGACTTTTGATAAAATTTCGGGATTGGTCAGTTTGTTGGTTCCCTCGGGTGCCGAAGTTCTAGCGGTGGTGAAAGCTTGCAGTCGCTTCCTAGAGCCAAGATGGTTTTCCTATTCTCGTCTTATACTGGAATCCGATAGCAACCTTGTTGTTTCTTGGATAAATGCGCCCCAATTTGCTCCGTCTAGCTTCAATTTAGATAGTTTTGTTTTGCCATCATCTATGTTGCAGTCACTAACATGCGTCGTTATACTATTAAATAAATTCCTTAATCTCAAAAGAAATAAAATAAAGTAGTATAGTGAGAAGAAGGGTCGATCTAAAGGACTTGGAATTGCTGATATAGAAGGATTTTGATTCTGGTGTTAGGCAAAAAAGCAAGTAAAATAAGGGGGTTTTATTTGAAAGTATGAAATAAAAGTAAAAATAAAATAACTTGAAAAATAAATAAACTTTGTTGAAAGTAAAAGACAGGAGAAAATCAATTTAATAAAAGCAATCGTAGGCTTCGTTTTGCCTCAATTTGCATAGATCATTGAATAAGATTTTTGCTTCGAATTAAGGACGGTTACTGTCTACAGGGCCTAACCCCTGTAACTTTTTTTTCTCTGGTAAATCGATAATCCAAAATCTATTTTTGAATTTCAGTCATTTTGTAAACTAAACAGGACTATCGTTGCTAGTGCTAACTGAGTTTCAGGATTTGGAAAAACCTATCTTGGAATATGTTGTCTCAATGCGAATCGAATCCGATATCAATTTCTTTTAGCGAACATCCTCTAAGTGTGTTCAAAGGAAGTCGAATGCTCTACAACCCGATCATTCCTCCCAACTTTAAATTGAAACAATTATCAATCCAACGAGCTCTTTTTGGATTTGAAAGTATTTTTTTATTTTTAAAGGAAAGGCCGACTGCCAATCCAATTTTGCAGAAAATTGAGAATGTAACTCAAAGGGTATTAAGTGCTTTTCAATTCTCACAATTGGAATTGAGTCATCACTTCAACCTTTGGCTTATGAGAAAATTAGCTAAGTGAGATAGAAATCATACTTAACATTTTTAAAAGAAAATAAAATAAAAATGTAAAAGAAAATAAAACTTTTATAAAATAAAGAAAACAAGAACAAAGTAATTTGAGAAATTTCATATATGTTTTCAAGCTTACCGCAATGGGGAATTTATAGTATCCTAAAACCCTAAAAATGACATAGAAAATGATAAAGATAAATCTTAAAAATTGTTTAAATTAAATCCTAAAAATAAAATATAATTCTTAATTTAAATTTGAGATGAAGCTGATATATCCATCCTTCTAGAAACGCTGATTGGATTGCCTTTTGCTGATTGGATATTCTAGAAACTACCACATCAGCCGCGTCACGCCCACAGTCATGCCCACTAATGTAGTCTTGATTCCAGAAAATAAAAACTATATAACTTCACCTTTTTAGTGCAATTTCCAGAATTTGAAGTTCTGCATAGAAAACGAACAAAAATGCCCAAATCAACATAATAAACCAATCAATAAGGAGTAATTAAAGATAAAATAGTAACTAATTAAACCACTCATCAAATTCCCCCTCACTTATTCAATGCTTTTCCTCAAGCATTTCTCGACCAACACATCAAAATCACAAGTTGTCATTCTTTATTTCACAACATTCCCACGATAATCAAATAAATCAAGATCAATGCAATTATCGAAAATTAAGAAACAATCAACCAAAGGCAAGACTAGGAACAATTTAAGTAAAACTAGACAACCAAATAATCTGCTAATTTTCAAGAAGCAAAACTTAGTACCTCATACTGGTGAACTCATTCCGCTCAAAGTGTTTTGGGTGAAAGAATCGCTCAAGCCGGAACTAGTCAAAACATTACCATAAGCTTGTAATTAAATCTAATCTTGACTACTAGAAATTAACATGATACAAAAATCAAGGGGTCTTTGAAAAGGGTTGTAACGGGGCTTAGGTTTGGGTAGGAAAAAAATCAAAGTTGGGTTAAAATTCAAGACAAATGAGAAGTGTATTTATTCAAAGAAAGAAAAGCAAAAACAATTCAAAGGAACAAATAAAACAACCAACCTTTTTTTATTTTTTAATTTTTCGAAACTGATTTTTTTCTCGAACAGGATGTATTTTTTGTTTGTTTTGTGCACTGCACAATCTTTTTTTTTTCCAAACAATTCATTCTTCCTAAAATTAGTTTCCTGAAATAAATCTACCTTTGTCCTGAAAAGTTGACAAAAGAGGGTAAAACAAAAATGGCTTGGGTTATTAGTGGGGTAAAACAAAGAAAAGGTATAAGGCTCAAAATTGGTTTATCTAAGGGAAAATCAACAAAGGGTAGGAAATTTTTAGGAAAGGAAAATGGCTAATCCTAAGTGTCCCTATCACACTAAAACATCATCTCCATGCATGTAGTCTCAACAAGTATTACGCTACAAGTTCTAGAATGTAAAGAACTAGTTCGACACACTCAATGAATCAAAGAGAAAAAAAAATGAAAGAATATGCTCGTTAGGCTCAAAACTTATATGAAAAGGTGAAATATGTACTAAGTCATGCAACAAATTAATTAACAAATAAATGGAATGTCAAGTAAAATTTTAAAGAAAATCAATAGTCATGCCAATCCGCTATCATGCAACCTAAATTCCAACAAAAACAAGATCACAATTCATAAGGAAATCAAAGAAACAAAGTAAAATATAGGATAGGCAACAAGAAGTTCCAACATAGTTAAATCAAGAAAGCTCAATTTCAGCAAATCAAATAAGCAAGGAAAAATTTGATGCAATTTCTACCCTCACTAAAATCATATTGTTCCAATATGTAAATAAAAGCACAAGAGACGGAATAGAAACACTCCCAGATCTAGTGACGACTACAGCCGCGGCTGCGTCGAGATGTGCTCAGGCAAAGGTAAGAGATGATCTTGACAAGGTTGGTTTTGATGGAGTCAAGTCGTCCGTGCATTTTATGGATCTCGTTATGCATGTCCAACTACAGTGGCTCTGCTGGTGCCAGTTGTGGTGCAGTCCTCCAAAGAAATACTTGTGCACTGCGAGGTGTAATGGTGTCGGAAGGAATGATATATGGTGCATTGGGAGTACCGACGAGAAGTCCTATCGTATCCAAACACTGTGCATCTAAAGCATCCATTGCAAAAGCATAAGTTAAACGTGAAGTATTAAAAGTCAATCGAATAAAGTGAGATGTGAGGTGAATAATTTAAGGGCTAAGAATAAGTGGGCGATCACAACGCGCTCAAAAGCGCGAGTGAACCAAAAGCCCAAATTTATCTTAGTATCGGTTTGCATACACGACAAGAAAAATAACTCAACCTTATTCAAGCAGTATGTGTAGTTGTATCATTACGTCAGTAATAGTTGTATGCCAAGAACCGGTGTATGTAACGGAGTGTCGAGTCATGAATATGCCATCACTTCGTCCTTTTGGCTTTAAAAGTTTACCCCACCAAGCCGGTGAGCGCCTCGTAAACAATATCCATGTCAAAGTCCTGTGGCATCTCAAGTAAAGTAGTTAAATACCCATGATCCATGACATGCATCATGAATCCCATAAAAAATTAAAATTTGTAACAGACATCTTAAAATATTATCCCATCAATCAAAATGAAATAACATAAGGCGAATTGATTGTAACAACTCGATGCTGGAGGAATGTAAATGTAGCATAGAACTCAAAGACCAACTCAGAGTATGTGCTACATCTAATCTCAGAATATAACGACCAACCAATAACATCGAAATAAGCCGTAACATTATAGCACAAATGTAAAGTATCAAGAGTACGTGATGAAATATATTTGCAAACTTAAAACTTACGGTGCCTAATGCTATCAAATTGCCAAGATTTGTCGTCGTCAAATTGCAAGTAACCTTCCAAAGCTTCTTCAATCGGGACAGAATAGTTTGGCCTTGGTGATGACGCTCGGAGTAGTGTTCGGTATGGTCGTGGGCATCATCTCCTTGCACGAGGCTCTCGCCTGAACTTGCGGCAAATGAAGGAGAAAGATGCTGCTTCCCGGAGTATCGTTAAAAAGGAGACATGAGATCAGCAGGCGGAGGCGGCGGTGCTTCAGTCGAAAAAATGGTTTCAAAATCATCTAAAAAACCATACACAAGGTGGAATATTAATAAAGATTCAATCAAAACGAGTCCAGAATTTACCTTGTCGGGTTGTTTAGGCACTGTCGAGTGCATAGAATACGATGGAACGACGTCCAAAATTGATTGGGAGAATGAATCTGACGGCAAGGAGTGGAATATGTATAAGGTTGATAAAGAGAGACGAATTTGCCATGGTCCAGAGGACCGTCAGAACGGTATGGAAGCACCATGTGATCGACGGAGGAAAACGCGACATTAGAGTTACCGAGAGTGACATGAATCGACGCCGACTCTGGAGGAGATGCAACATTGGGCTACTATCATTGGCCGTCGCAACGTGTAGGAGACGAAGGAGGTTACGGCAGTGAATCGGAGTCGCTCAAGAGTTGGACGAACGTCGGTGCTGTAAATTGACGGTGGTCGCCTAGAGTAATAGGCGGTTGAGAGTTTCCATCGTTTGCTTGGTTGTAAGTTCTTACCATGGTGACGTGAGAAGGACGGTCGGAGGAGCAATGGGTAAGCGAACAGCGAGCGACGATGGGCGATAATAAGGTCCGCCAAGGTTAGTAGTGACGAGTGATGGAGGTGTTTGGGTGGTTGCTATCGGCGATGATAAAATAAAGAGGCAGGGGGTCGTGCGGTCGAATGAAAACAAAGAGGGGAAGTTGTGATTTAATTAATCACGTAGGGTAGGATTTTAAAAGTAAAAGAAACTTGATTTGTTCTGGGGTCTTGGTGATAAAGAATTAGGAGAGAGAAGGTGATTGGGTTAGTTTGAATTTAAAATTAAGAATGATAAGATGATTAGGTTATGAAAAGACATAAAGAAAGAGAAAGATTGGGCAAGGGTGGCGGTTGAAAAAACAAATGTTGGGTTGGGGGGATTTTGAGTGTTGGGCGGCAAAGGACGAACTTTTTGGGATTTGTTAATGGCTAACCTACGCCGGCCCCCCTTTGGTCTTTGCTATCACGCACCATTAACGAAACGGTGCACATAGATGAATAAGGTAAGGACCCCTGCTGTCGTGCGATCCCCTGCTCGAAAATGGGTCAATTTCGCTATTGCTCGGACCAAAAACACCACTTCGACTTCATTAAAATTCGATTAGAATTATAGGGGTACTTGCAAGATTAAAAGTTAAAAATAGGTAAAAAAGCTAAATGAAAATAAGAATAAAAAACCAAAAATAAACTAAGAAAATTAAATTAAAAATGGCTTCTCCTCTAATTCAATTTCCTTAACTAAACCAACCGGAACATTCCTATAATACGACTTCAATATTTGACCGTTAACTTTAAATCGAGCTCCTGAGTCATTTTTAATTTCAATCGTGTTATGAGATAATACATGAATTATCGTAAAATGTCCGAGCCACTTCGATCTAAGCTTTCCTACAAAAAGTTTTAACTTAGAAAAAGTAAAACTTTTTGTCCGATAGAAAATGATTTAAAAGAAATTCTATGATTGTAGAATTCTTTTATTTTTCTTTAAATATCTGAGCACTGTCGTAATCGTTTCTACAAATTTCCTCAAGTTCCTGAATATACAATTTTCGCGCTTCGTTGATTGCGTCCATCTCCATGTTGCATTGCTTGACCATCCAATAAGCTCGATGCTCTAATTCCACTAAAAAATGGCTTGACTTACCAAATACAAGGCGGTATGGAGACATTCCAATGGGACCTTTGTAAGCAGTTTGATATGCCCACAATGCATCAGTTAGTTTAAGACTCCAATCCTTATGGTCCGGTTTGACGATCTTCTAAAAAATTGCTTTAATTTCACGATTCAATACTTCCTCTTGCCCATTTGTTTTGCTAATGGTAGTCTATGGCAGATCTTTGAGTCACACCAAACTTCTTTATAAGTACTTCAATTACATGGTTGATAAAGTGAGTTCCTTGATAGCTTATAATCGCTAATGGTGTGCAAATCCTAGAAAACAAATATTTCAAAAAAATTAAATGTGGTTCTGGCATATTTTTGGTAGCTTTAGCTTCTACCCATTTAGAAACATAATCAACCGTAAGGATTATATAATTATTTCCAAACGAAAAAATAAAGGGAACCATATAACCGATTCCCCAAACATAAAAAATACTGCAAATGTGAATCGGATTGAGAGGCATTTTGTTCCTTCGACTTAGATTCCCTGCATCTTGGCATCTTTCATAGGTTTTACAAAATAAATATCAGTCACGAAAAATGTTAGGCCAAAAGAAACCACACTCTAAAATTCTATGGGCAAACCTTTTCTGGTCCGAGTGACCACCGCAAGAGTAAGAATGACAGAAATTTAAGATCAAATTTACCTCATCGTCAAATTACATGTTCCAAGCAGTGCTTCCAAAGGTAAGGATCATCCCATATATAAAATCAGGACTCTCACTTTATCCAATTAATTTCAGCTATCAGTATATCTAATGGTAATTTACTTATGGCCAAATGATTGACCATATCTGCGAACCAATGGGTAACTTTTTGCGCCACCATTAGATTTTCTTTGGGAAATTCTTCCCGAATCGACATATCGAATGTGGATAGGGGAATTAGCTCAAGTGATTGGCTACCAACTTCTCCCATCCTTTTTTATCTTTAATTTTCAAATTAAATTCTTGAAGAAGAAATATCCATCGGATAAGTCTCGGCTTCACCTCCTTTTTGCTCATCAAATATCGCAAGGCTGGATGATTAGAAAAAACAATAATTTTAGTGTCAAGCAAATACGATTTAAATTTTTTAAAAGCAAAAATTATAGCAAACAATTCTTTTCGGTTGTAGAATAATTTTTTTTGTGTCGAATCCAAAGCCCGAGACGCGTAGGCTATGTCATGGGTCTCCTTATCGGTTTTCTACCCAAGAACGGCTCCAACACTCGTATATGATGCGTCACACATAAGCTCTAAAAGGTAGTCCCAATTTGGTTGTTGTACAATTGGAGCCAATACAAGCTTTTCTTCTAAGATGTTGAATGATTCTTTACATTCCAGATTAAAATCAAAAGCTTGATCCTTCTGTAGTAGATTACACAACGGTTGCACTATATTTGAGAAATCTTTGATGAACCTGCGGTAAAATCATGCATTACTAAGAAAGGAATACACTTCTCTCATAATTTTGGGGTAAGGTAGTGAGCATATAATATCGATTTTCACTTTCTCAACCACAATTTCATTCGAAGAAACAATAAGGCCTAGAATTAACCCTTATCAACCATAAAGTGGCATTTTTCATAATTTAAAACGAGATTAAATTCTAGGCACCGCTTAAGCAAATTAGTTAAAAATAAAAGGCGCTCATCGAATGAATTATCGTACACAATGAAATCATCCATGAAGACTTTGATACCTTTCTCGACATAGTCTAAAAAGGTGCTAAGCATGCACCTTTGGAACGTGGCGGGTGCATTACAAATTTCAAAAGGCATCCGTTGGTAAGCAAATGTGTTGAAGGACAAGTGAAAGCCGTCTTTTCCTAATCTTTTGGCTCCACTAGGATCTGAAAAAATCTTAAATCCATCAAGACAACAGTAATGAGTTTTACGGGAAAATCTTTCTATCATTTGATCTATAAAGGGAAGGGAAAATGTTCTTTGTAAGTTAACGAATTCAACTTCCTATAGTCGATGTAGACTCCCCATCATTATGTACTCGTTTCAGAACTAATTAACCTTCTGAATTTTTAATTACCGTGACTTCGGTTATCTTTGGAACCACATGGACCAGACTTACTCAATTACTATCTAAGATCGGTGGATTTAATTGGTGTTGTCATTCTCATGATGACTTTAATCATTTTTCGATCTTAATCTTGTGCATACTAGTTGAGGGACTTGTAGACACACTTTTTATGACCACAATAAACATATATATATATATATTTATATATTATGTATATATTACATATATATATATAAGTATTATTATTGTTTTATTACATTAACACGTTTACATTTATGTTGTTTCTGTATTAGGCCCGAACTCGGATTGCATGTGGCCCAGCAGAGTTTTCTACCACACACACGCGAGCCCAAACACATGCAGCCCAACAGCCACGTGACCCAAGTAGCCCAGACCTAATAATAACTAGGGTTTTCAGAACCCTAGTGTTCTTAGTACCGCTTCCCGCTTGCTCCACGCCTCAAGCAGCTGCTCGACCAACAAATACGGTTTTCCCGACGACGTTCTCTCGGCACCAACACCCACAAAGCAACAAACACAAAAAACCAAGTCAGATTGAGGCGTTTTAGTCCAAGTGGGACTCTAATCTCTAGCTAAAAATAGGCATTTTCAGATTATAAATAAATGTAACACACTACGAGTATAGGGAGGGGGATTACACACGAAATAGACACAAAATACAACAAAAATACACAAGTATTTACGAGAGGAAAAATCCGAGCTTTGTAAACAGTTCAAAAAGGAAATAAAAGGTAATTTTTTACCTTGATTCGTTCGTCCCTTGCATGTGCATGTTGTTTTCCTAAAAATTTTTGTTCGAATAGAACCCAAAAAACCTTTAGTTGAAGACAAAAAGAGGAGGGGAGTTCGAAACTTACTTTAGATCTACTCCCCTTAAGGCATTTTTTTGAGAAATTGTTTTGATATTTGAAGAAAGCTTACGAAATAGTTTTGAAAAAGCAAAAAAAAAAAAAAATGGTTTTCACCGCCGTTGAACGGCGGCCGACGAGGCGACTGGGTCATCGAAATATGGAAATTTACGACGGTGTTCATGTGTTCTTCAAGAACACAATAACAGATGAGAGGAAATGTTGAATGGGGATGGGGTATTTGGCGTGGAGAAGAGAGAAATGAATGTTATCAAAAAAATTTTGGTTTAAATAATTGGCCCATCAGACCGTCTGACCCGATCCATACTCGCATCTGGACCCGCGTGTTTTTAAAGGGAAAGGGTCTAATCCCCTTTCCAGTCCCTTTAGTTCTCTGTGATCAAATTCAA